CAGCATTTGATATGAAAACTCAGACCAGTTATAGCAGTCACCCACAAAATCCAATACGGGGCCATGGTCGTGGTCACTGGGACCAGCCTGCTGCTGTGGCAGAGGACTGAAATAAACACTAACAAACCAGTGACTTGCAAGTTACTGACTTCTGATTTAATTTTTCCCACAGTCACTATTACAAATGGAGCTGCACAGGAGGAAGTACAGGGGTAGAAGGATTCCTAAAACTGTTAGTCCACACATAGTTTGAATTGTACAGTCCTTCACCCTCTTCTCTCCGGTAATAAAGCTTGCATTGCCTGTCTCCCAAAGGCATTCCCTGAATGACTTGATCCTTTCCCACTATTCATATTGTGATCTGAGGTTTCCTCCCTTTAATCTGACAGCAAAGATGAAAGGCTGTTTTAGAAGAGAAACACAGCAAAACCAAAACATGGACAGAACCTCTGGGGGAATTAACCTTTCTTCTGAAATCAAAGTAGTGAGGACACACATGTACACTGCAGTTTGACTGGACAACAAGTAATGAGAAATACAGTTCTGAATTGGACTAAACCAGCTGGTAAGAAAGGGTAAGGTTTGCACAGAAGTCACAAATAGGAACAATGTGATTGAAAAGAAATCAAAACTTTAGCCTTATCATCAAGAACTCTGACTTGAGGTTTAAGTCAAGTCAAACAAAAGAGTGAATGTTTGTCGTTTGATATAGATGTCTGATAATAATTCAGTTGCATGGCTTTTATTTCTCCAGTGAGAAGGATACAAGAAAGACAAGATTTACTTCTGCCTTCAAGGTGTGCTTTTCTAAGTGTTTTGGGTTTGTTGGGTGTCTTTTAATCTCAGTAACACTGACACAGTGGAAATGTGTGAAATCAGCTGCATTTTAATGATAACACGATTCAAATACTGAACAGCTTTATGAACATCAAAAATAAATTACAAAAAGCTCTAATGCTGGGCCTGGGGTAATTTTAATTTCATTTTGCCATTCTAGGGAAGAAATGGTGTTTCTTTTCACTTGGTCTTCAAAAGGCAGCAATCCTTCTTGCAAAATAAAATTAAAAGTGGCTAACTACTCTACAGCCTTGGAAATCCTTTCATACAGTCTTCTTGGGACTAGAACCTACAGTGTCATCTCTACTACAGTGTAAACACTGTAACTTTTCTAACCTGTTGGCTAAGCCTAAAAACCTCCGCTGTAGGATCTGCAAGACATGTTCAGGTATAAGGTCTCCACTGAGGCTGGTCCAGAGTGGGTGTTGCCCCAGCTTCCTGTCACTGAGCAACTGCACATGCCAAAAGTGAAGTGTGGTACTGATCCATGTGGTCTAAAGGAGTGTTAGGAACCAAGCACAGGTTCTATTATGAAAGAATAAATAAGAAAAGGTAAACTATTACAATAAATTTCTTTCACAAAGGTTTTCTGATGCTGAAAGTCATAATTGCTTATAATATATTCTAAACATGCACAGGGCTTCTAGCACATAAAATCCCAAAGCAGCATTCCCAGAAATTGTCATCATAAATTCTGCTGCAAAGATTTCTCCAGGGAAAACCTCTGCACTAGCCTGAATCTCCCTGACTTCAAGCCCAGTCCTGCAACATTTATTTATGTGGACAATTCCATTTGCAGTACTCATGACTGCACAGATAAACTACTCATGACAGAGCAAGCCTCAGCTCAAACAAGTCAGTTCAAGTAATATTAGGAATAGAAAAAGACTAATACATGTACTTTAAATACTTCTGGCTCCATAATATCATGCTGTAAGTTGAGGGGAAGTTGGCAGAGAACTCACTGAAGAGCCCTATTTCCTACCTAATTAAGGACAATGACAGATAAGGGAGCCAGGTACATCCTTTTCATATTAAAGTGATTATATATATTTTAATACTTAATCTGTCTGACTCTTTTTGCTAGATTTCTTATAAAGCATATTTTAATGACATATTTCTTCTCATGGTAGTACCTTAGTCTGTGATAGTAAAAGACACAATTGTTCTTTGTTTCTTACTTTTAGTACAGATCAGTAGTTACTAAATACTGGTTAATACTGGTGAAATTCCATAGTCCATATTATCAGGAAATCATGCTAGGTGAGTATCAAATGGGTTTTACCTTTTATCTATTTACATTTGGAAAAATTCCCAGTAAGAGCTACCTCCTGTGATTATGCAGATGAATAGTTCTTTCAATATAATTTTTTTTGTACTAGAAGTTTTAAAAATAAGCTTTGATAAAAAACATTTTTTGGGGGGGTGGTTGTTTGGTTGGTTTTCTTAGTATCTGCAGAGTTTTCTCAAAGTAAATTCTTTTTCTCAGTTATAATTTTAGATCTCTAATCCTATGTCTTGCTTAAAATTGCCTACCCTTCATTCGAGGCATATAATGATATTTAAAGTATTTAAAGTGTTTTAAGGAATCTTGTGACAAGAAATATTTTCCTGATTTAAAAGACTATATATTCCATGAAAGAAGGATTTGTTCACTCATCTCAATTCTCTGCCCATATAGTGCTCACCTGTGAGCAAATAAAAATTGCCTACATTAAGAGGGATCTTTAGAAAAATGCTACATATGTATTATTTCAATTACAGGGAGCATACTTCCCTAAAATGCCTAGTTTGCTCCAAATCTTTATTTCCCCCCAACAGATTTTTGGTCCAAACTAATAGATAATAAAAGCTACAAGTAACTGATAGCTCTCCAAAGGATTGCCATCTGAAAAGTGTCTAATTGTATCTGGAAAATCTGTTCAAATGCAGGTTATTCCTCTGCCAGAGGTAAATACTAATCAAAAGGCAACAGCCCTTATCATCTTGTCCATTTTCCAGGCTGAAGTGCTTCACCTCTTAAGAATGTGTTCTCTTTACTGGAATGATGGGTGTGCTCTGTGCTCTGGCTTGGTGGAGTTCACCCTCTGCTTAAGACACAGACACCTTTCATTAATTTTTTTTTTTCCTTTTCAGAGTTCATCTCTTCTCACTTCTATCCTCAATGTGAAATTTGAGCATTTCAAAACTGAAACTACACACTGTTGTGGAGCACACTGGAAGCAATTATCTAGGAATACATTGTGGTTTGGAAAAGTATTAATTTCTATGATTTGTAGGAAACACCAAAGGAATTAGTAACAAAAAGATCATCAGTATAGTGTCAAAACTTCTTCCAAAATCAAGAAGGCACCTCCCTGACAAGAGGGTGATTAAACACAGACTCTCCCTACTTTATTAAGGTAACCTTGTAATGGGAACTCTGAGATCTAGCCTGAAGTCTGCCAAAGGCTTGCCTTGATTCTCAGCTTTCTTGTCAGCAGCTGCAGGGCCAAGACATTTGTACTGTGTTTGCCTCACAGAGAGGTTGGAGTGCCAAGATCAGGAATATCTGTAAATCTCTAGGAAAGCAGTAGTGTGAAAAAGGTTTAAATGCAATGCATCATCTGCTCCCTGAGAACCTCTCCAGTATTAGAGAGCTTTGAAGCTGTGCAGGAGAGTCAGACCTTACACAAAGGAGGCACTTTAGAGAAAGCCTGGATGTTTATGTAACAGTATCAAAGAAGCACTTGCTGTTCTCCCAACAAACTGTCAGTTCTCCTGAGATGCCTGAATGAAGAGCAAGGTTTAGAACTCACTTCAAAAATATGTGTATTTTTGCTTTGCTCCTGTGGAGGCAAGCTGTGACTCACAGGTGACATGTAAACTGTAAGATGAGCCTCTGAGAAGAGTCAGGGGAAGAAAACCCAAACATTGATGAGAAAGAAAAGAAAGTAAATTCCTCCTGTGTGGGTGCAACAGCACTGTGTCCCTATGGTCCCAGTGAGGAAAGCTGCTTTTTTGACCTCCATCAGCCTTTCCAGAATTGAAAGGTCCCCTATATTCAAGGCTATCATCTTGATAGACCTACTCTATAAACCTGCTCTTAGTGGTTTGGGGACTGGACATTACAGGAGAACCCCTCTTCCCTTGAAATCAGTTTTATGTTAAAAAATGCTACAGTGACATTATATCTGTGATTTGGGAAAATATAAAAGATCAAACTGATATGCACAGCAATGTGACTGGAGTGAATGGACAGGTGCTCAAATGGACAATGGCCAAAATGAAATAAATTTTATATTTTTTTTTCACTTTTTCTCCCTTATTCATCAATCTGAAAAAAAAAAAAATCCTTTATCTAAAAGTATTTTCTTCACAAAACAAAAAATATATGTTACATAACATCATCTCAATATGCATTTCTGAAACTCCTCTGACTCCTTTAATTCCTTAACACTGTAAACATACCCTGATATATTTATATGCAACCTGAGACCAGTGCTTAAAAATAAACCAAGTATGAATTGCAGTGTGTATGTGTGCACAACAGACATAGCTATCTCTACTAGAGGCTGAAGACATGACACTAAAGGAATACTGTCCAATATATTTATTTGGTTTTAAGCCAAAGGCTAGAGCATGAGGTGCAGAGAGTTATGCAAAGGTGGTGGATTTTTAAAGAAATAAACTCAACAGTAATTGTCACTGAAGCAACTAGACACAGTCCTATGTTCCTTTCTAAATGGAATGGCCACCACTCTTTTCCAAAGGTAAGCACACATCTAGCTATTCCCTTTCCAAGCACAACCAGTCAGACCCCAAACCTAAGGAATCAGTTCAAGCATGGGCCCTTCAATATTTGCCATCCCTCTCTCAGAACACAAGATTTCGTATTAAAAAGAAAGATTTCAGTTTACTGCTGCATTTTCCCTTCCGCACCGAAGAGCTCAAAATTTTTAATACTTAGTTTTATACAGTTCATTATGGCTTCTCAATTTTGTATCAAATTAATTAAGGCAGAATGTAATGGTTCTTTTGATGTAGTGTTGTAAAACACCAAGCTGTAGAGTAAAAGGAAAACAGTTGCATTGTTCACAAAAGAAGTCTACATTTGCTTTCAGCTGGTAGGTAAAGCAGAGAATGCAGGAGATGGCATATAGAAAAAAAAAAATTCTATTAGGTAGAATAAAGCCCCAAAGTTTATTTTGCTTACAAATCCAAAAATCAAGTGATTTCTAGTCCAAAGGAGACAGGAACAGAATGGGCAACAATGAGAGTTTTCATAGATTTTAAACCAGTATGAGTTAAATGTTTAAAAATCAGCATTTCAACTGCTGGAAAGTTGCCTACATGGCAGTAGGTCCTAGGAAATTTGCCCATCCATGAATGTAGTAGCAAAAACAAGCCCTGGTGCACACAAAGGTTTGAGAAGATGAAAGCTCACAGCCCATGGTTCAGAGGAAGTGTTACTGTGACAAAGTATTAATTATGAATGAATACAGCATTGATGGTATTGCATGCATTTTGACACACAGCAGTCCCCCAAAGGAAGTGTTATCTAATTGGTTCTATCAAAGGCAGGTGGCTCCTTGGCATCTAGAAAGGAAGATAAAATCCAGGAGTCTGCTTCTCTGAGTAAATTTCCTTCCTGACCTCCCAACTGGGCTCCTGCTTAGGGCCATACAGCTCATACTGTGGAACAGCCAAGGAGGATTTCTGGTTCTTCCAAAGGCAATTGCTGTATGGCCAGGCAGCAGAGAAGGCTGAAAAATATAAACTGTGCACATCCATATAATTTTCAATAGCAAAAGATGGCACTACAACAACTTCTGCAGGATATCACCAAACAGAAGAAGAAACCATCTGCAGGGCAACTGCAATACAGAAATGGTCTTGTAACAAGGAAACATGATGAAAAGATATGAGGAATTATCACTAAATTATTAAAATATAGGAGTAAGCAAATCACACTTTATTGACAGGTCACTGTTCAATTAACCTTTACAAATAGCTGCAATTAATGGATTTGTTTTGTATATATAAATGTTGATATGAGACAGATTAACACATTGGCTGAATTAGAGGGCTAAACTGCTCCAATTTAATGCAAGTATTTGGTAAATCACTGGAGCTGTAACACATGCAGTTATTAGATGCCCTGAAGTCAGACCAAAAGCCAGATAAAAATTTACTGATACATTGCCTGTGAATTTCAAATTACATTAGTTAATATTAATGATTTCAATTGCTAAAAAAAAAAAATTACCACAAAAGTTTTATGCCATTTTAACCTACTCATCTCTGCCTCAGACAGCATTTACATCTAACTTCATTTTAATGCTGAACCATTTTAGCAGCAAGTAAATGCCAAAAAATGCAGCAGTGACTTCTAGTGGGGGTATTAAATCTTTCTCATAGTCATATATACCATAATTTCCACTATGCAGTAAGGCAAAAGGATTTGTGTCCACAGTAAAACTGTGAGAATATAATATTACTGTGAGTAAAACAAGAGAACGTAAACAGATCTAAATCTTCTGTGTGTTCACAATCAACAACACCTCGTTTGGAAGCTAGGAAAAAAAATGAGGCTTACTTCTCACTAGCACTTCAATTTGCAGTTGAATCCTGGAGTTTGGAGTGCAAAAGCACCATATTAATGACAAAACAGGGGCAGACAGTGCTGAAAACCTCCTACGTGTAGCTGTGTTAGCAGCACAGCCAACTGAAACTTACATATGCAGGAGTATTTGTGGTCTAAACGTGAATACTTCAAGAGGCTTTTAGGCAAAGCAGCCCACGCTGTGTAACCACACACAAGATTATCTCCAGGTAAAGACACTATCAAAGACATTATCATCTAGGTAAAAACTTGGGCATTTTAGAAGAAGACAAAGTGCTCCAGTACAACCTTAATAAAGGTGGGAATAAACTATCAGAGTGCCCCCAGAAATGCATTTTCCTAGTACAGAAAATATAGACTTTGACCAGGATTTCACTTCTCATAACTCACTCATCAGTGGTAGCTCCTCCATCACAATGATTTTAGTTGGATTTATGCAACCTTGAGAGACTTCCAATTCTCCTGTCATTCCATCAAGGCAATCTCCTTTCTCGTGCACAATTCCCGGTAACAGTTCTGTCAGGAGTGTATCTATACTTAATTAAGAATAGTGAAAATTATGTGCTTGGAAATATAAATAAATGACATGTTCCTTTCACAGGTGCTGGTCTTTGATTACTTGTCAAAAAGAACCAAAACCACTTGGTTGTCAAGGCATGGAATAGTTTTAAAATGCCAAATGGTTTGTTTGGTTGATTTGTTGTTGGCTACAGGCAGCAACAGCCTGGTCCTCTCCCACAGGTAGGCAAGAGACGTGATGCAAGTTTTGCAGGAAGCATGGCGTGCTGGTCAGAGGGTGATTTCTCTCAAAGCCCCAAAACCGCCTCCTCCCTCCTCTCCTACAAACTCCAGAACTCTGCATGCTTTATGGCCAGAATTAAGTAGCTTGAGCCTGCAGCACTAAGCATCTAAGCCCACTCAGATAGAGCTATATACTTTTATTGAATGATCACCGCTGTCTAAAACGACGAGGGAATTGTTTGCCGTGTAAGCCAGTCCGACAGGGTAAGAAAGCCCGTGGCTAATTAGAGGATTAAAGACGGGAAATTCCTCAGGTTTCCCTAAGCATATGACAGCCTGGCTACAAACATCCGTTACTATAACACGACCTTCTTTGTCAAAGGCCACAGCAGTAGCGTATATTCTGGAGGGGAAAACGAGGTTCAGACCGAAGCTGTCCATCTGGCCGATGAGATCCATCTGCGCGCTGAATATCTTCACGCGGGTGCTGCCCTTGCTCGGTCCTCGAGCTTTCAGGTGCTCTATTACCACGACAGCGCCCGAGGTCTGGCAGACTGCAACCCCTCTGGGGCTGACAAGCCGGGACCGGATCATCTGACACTTCTTTAATTCCCCGCTTTGGAAGTCGGCCGCCAAGCGGTAGAGCGCGCCTGCCTCCGAGTCGGTCACGATTACTTCGTTCATGGGGGTGGCATCCAAGCCCCAGGGCAAACAGAAGCCTTCCCGGACAGCCAGAACCCCTCTTCCCTCAAAATCGAAGGCCTTCACGGAGCAGTCCCCGCCGTCCGTGACCACCACGTGCCCGTCCGACGTGACCGTCACATCGAGCGGATACTTGATGTCATTGCCCGCGTCCCCCCGCTCCCCGAACCGCCGCAGGCAGACCCCGCTCGGCCCGAAGACGTGGATTCTCTTCTTGCCGTCGTGTGCCACTGCCAGGCGGCCCGACCAGGGGCAGACCGCCACCCCGGTGGGGTTCACCAGCGACCCCCAGCCCCCCAGGCACAGCCGCAGC